CACTGACCAACTGATATGTGATTCATTTTAGGGATCTTACTCCATTCAAAAAACATTTGAAAGTTTGTATTATAGAACAAATAAATCAAATCATAAATCTATATTAAGATTTCATTAGAAAATTAGGCTGGATTATTATGTTTGTAGATTTTGGTCTATGATTTTCTTGCTGGTCCAGAAAAATTTGCAGGTATTTATTCTTAATAGGAATAGTCACCAACAAGCATTTATTTAGCACCTACTATTCTGCGAATCAAGCAAGAAACTAGGGGAGTGTTGATATCCTTTGAAGAGTGGCTAACAGTGGAACAGCAAGTTCATACTTGGGGAAAGAAAACTTTTGTGAACTGAGCATCCACTAAAAAACAAACTAAACAAGAAACTCCTCATCTTTAAAAAGTATGAACAATATTGAGTGTCCCTATCATTTCTGCTAAACCCTTACCCTTTCATTCTAGAGTTTCCTTGCATGAATTTTACTGACTAAGCAGATAGAGGAAAAATTTTTTTCTTTTCTGGCAACTCCCTCCTGAGTAAAAAGAAAAGGAAAAAAGATCCCTTTGTTTTTAGCTATAAGACCCATAACTTAAAATTTCTGTACTCATTAAGTATGCTGGGGTAATTTTATAGTTTCAATACACCAGTAAGCAAAATACAAAGTCTGAGCAGCAAATCAGTAATGTTAAAATTTTTTTTCTTAAAAGTGTATTACATGAAAGTCACCCATATCTGAATTTAATTCAAAGCCACGACTGTCAAACCAAACCTGTAAGGTAGGTTTACTTATACTGATACTAAATGATTGAATACTTTCCTACTTCTTTTCACTTACCTCTAATTAGTACCTCTTCCTGTTGTCTTCTAGCAGCTTAAAATTTTGCTCCCCAAATATAAAAAAATAATATTCATTATGGAAAATTCCAAAGAAATAGCTATCCAAGGGGACAGGTGCTAAAATACTGCATCATAATGCATCTTCATCTTAACATTTCCATGACCTTCATTCTTCCTACACCACTCCCAGATAGCCACAATACCCCACTCACCCAGGTAAAATGAGCATTCATTGTGCAAAACATTGCATTACTGTATTAATACATTTAAGCAAACTTTATTCACCTCATAAATGTGGTTACTTCTTAATACACAAAATACTCCAAGTCTTAATATCATGCTTCCCTACCTCCAATCCACCTTAAAAGGCTCAGTAGTTCTGTGTATCAAATCCTGACCCCTAATTCCTGGAGAAACAGACTGACGCAATATTCATTTGGCTATAACTAAGTAAAAGTTAAGGATTTCAGCAAAATGTTAATGCACCCAGAAATTCAATTCACGAAAACTGTTTTGTTCTAGTATCTTTCATTAGTAGAATCCCAAAGTATATCACTCATTATTTTCCAGATTTTGAATCTCAGTTCAGGTATGTTCCTTGGCATACACTTACACAAAAATAGCTTTAAAACAAACTTTTGTTTAGAAACAAGCATTTCTTTAGTATAGAAAAACAATACTGTGGTATATGTAAAACTTAAAAGTAAAGCTTTCATTATGATATATTTTACAGAAATATGTTGATAATTATAAACAAAGATCACAAACTTGTCAAATTGTTTTCAGCTGGAACAAAAATTAGGTAATCACATAAAGTACATTTTGTACTTCCCTTTCTTCCAAAGAAAGAGTATTTCAATTCTCATAAATATTTGCATACATGCAATGGCCATTAGGTGAGTTGTAGTATATTTGAAATAAACAGACCACAATTGAAGGGTTGCTTCCACAACAAGTGAAATTAATATAGCCATTGTTTGAAACTGTGTAACACATCTTCAGCAAAAAATACACTGAATAATCTCTGTGCAGCTTCAAAGTGGATACCAAATTTAATTTTTCATAATCTAACATAAGTCATTTTATAAAATTCAGAAAATCCTTTAGAACAATGTATGCTTATACACATGAAGCTATATCAAACTACATCTTAGCTTGAATGTGTCAGGTGATAAAGAGAATTTGCTGCGGTAAGGCCAGTCTGACAGAGGTACAAAAAACCCAACAAGCATGTAAAATCAGGTGACTTGAAACCTACGTTGTTCCAAACTAAGGTATTATGAAAATTTCACAATTTCCTTCATTTCCACCCTTGTGCTGCCCTTCCACAGCTCCTCAAGTTTACTTAGTGTTTAATGCAGCTGCATTTATTTCTCTGATAATTTTATCGGAGATCAAAACATACCAATATGGTCACATGCTATAATATAGCTCTGTATATTTTTTGTTGCTAACAAAATATACAAGTGACCAATATGTTTTTATGGGGGAAAAAGTACTAAATACATTTTCTAAAACAGACTCTGATTGAATGATTAATACAAAAAAAATAATTTGGCAAATGTTAGCTTTTACAAAACTATAGTAAGAAAACTCATTTTGAAGAGCCATGTTAATTGGTATCTACTCCTTCTGATGGGAAGAAATCCCATCCGCTTATTCTTCCTCGGCATAAAACAATCACATCCATCTCTTGATCACAAGTTTAAGTCAAAAATTGCTTGTAAATCACCATGTCATTCCTCAGTTTTTGATACTGCTTCCAGACAGAAGTTTCAAAGCAACTCTGACTAGTGAATACATCACTGTACTTTAAACACAATGATGTTTTCTATCCCATACTTCGGGAAGGCGAAAACGCAGGCACACACAGACAAGGACCATCACTGCAGACAACAGATTCTAAGTGACTTTATTAACTCTTTAGGTAGATTAGGCAACACTTGTTTTTCAACTAAAAATCAAAAGAAGTATCTATTTTTAAAAATGACTCACACTACCATGATACCAACAAATACGTAAGGGAGTAAAAAGGCCTATGGGTTCCCAACTGTGCTTGTCTAGAATCTGTAACTAGTCACTTTACATTTTAGGAGATGCCCCTTTTTTGAGATAATCAAGATACTTTACAATAGGGAATTTAGATTTAATTATCAAACTTTAATACCATGTTATATAGGTCAAGTGAGTATGTATGTCCTTCTCCGGAAACAAAGAGATTCAGGGTAATAGGATTTCAGATTTCATAATAGAAACCACAAGATATGTTTTGAGAATGTCATTTACTGTAACACAAATCAATATTAAATGCTTTATGCAGGAAGTACACTTTCAGAAAATGGGCCCTAAAGCTTTCTGGGATCCGACCCTAATTACTAGAGCAGGCTCTTGCCGTTTGTCTCTCTCTTCAATTATTTAAGGGGCAAAAAGAGCCAAATGGCACTGCATTAGCTATATTAAATGCTATGTACTTGGTTTCTAACTTAATGGTACATAAAAATTACTAAGGTGAATGTGCCTGTAGAAACACAGCCTTTTTTCTTCACCTGAGTGTATGTATTTATTATTTATATAGTTAAGTGTTGAATAGGCTGTCCTTTAGCCAGTGCTGCATAATTTAAACAAGTGCATTAAACATATATGATATCTAAAAAGTAGTGCACTGATTACACCTCAAAATTTCTTTGAACTTATATTTACATATAGCTCGCAAAAAGCAGGCATTTCGCTCTGGTCCCTGAAAAACAAATTTTTAAGGACCACACAGACTTGAATAATGGATATCCTTGCTGCTACCATCTCGCTGCTTTCAGGCGACTCAAAGTAAAATAAGAATTGAGGGGAGTGAGAATGAGGCCCTTGAGGGCTAGGAAATGTCTGGTCTCTGTGCTGACAAGTGTCCTTTTTGGACAAATACTATGTTGTAGGTGCATAACATGGACCACACACACTGTAAGCAATAAAAGCTTCTCAAGGATGAATCAGAGATTCTTTGCAGCAGGCCAGAAATGCCGTCTGCCAGCAAGAAGGGCACGATTACAACCTCCCAAATAAAGTTCAGACACTGCATCCATACTTGATTCTTTTGTGATGTAGAGGGGCGCCTGGAATCCTGATAGGAGATGTTGATTGTCGAGCAAGGCTGGTGCAAACTGTCAAAGAAGCTTCCAAAGCAGTGAAAGACTCACTCTTTGTGGACCCCGTGTTTTGTTTTTGTTTTGCTTTCAATGAGTTCAGGGGCATCCAATTCTTGAAAAAATAAGACAGGCCCACTAACCAAGTACCCAGGGACCCTAGAAAGCCAGTCGCAATTTGCATTGCCACATGTCATCAGCTGTGTTACCTAAGAGTATGCCAAGGCCACTTTTGAGAAAGCACCATTGGAAATCGATCTGTGGTAAACACAGAAGGTAGTATTTTTCTAAACTAAAGACAAAGTCACTTCTCTCTCTACACTGAAATCTGCCCATTGTCCCTCCTTCGAAAAAGCTACAGGAACGATTAAAAGAGACATCAATGAACGCTGAGTGAACTTTGGCCACTTTCCTACCCAAAACACCAGCGTAAAAGTAGAAGTCGGTAACCAGGTGAAGTGCCACACCGCATAAAGATCAAGGCGAGGGGCGGGCGCTTAGGGCCCCAGGCAGGCGGGGAGGAAAAGGTCCCGTCCACTCTCCGCCCCCCAGTCCCCAGACACCGCGCGCGCGGGAGGCTGAGGGGCGTCCCCGAAGGGCGGGAGGCTCCAAGCCACTCTAGGGAACCCAAGAGTTACAGCTCGCAGGGCGGGGCCCAGGAGAAGGGGTCGAAAAGCGGCGCCGCCAACGGGTCCTGACGCGGGCCCAGGCGTCGGCATCCGAGCAGCCAACGCTCAGCGAGGGGTTCGGCTCGGGGCGCCGTTCAGCCCCGCGACCCTCCCGCCTCCAGGGCCAGGAAGGGGCAGGCGGCTCTTTCCTGTCTAGTCTCTCCCCCCGCGGCTTTCTGTAACCCGATCTCCGCACTCTGCTCCCCCGGCAGCCGCCGCCCCCGCGCCGCCCGGCTCAGCCCAGGCCGGCGCTATAGTTAGCAACCTTCCAGCAACTCCGTCGGGGTAGGCGGGGGTCGGTCGCGCGCCCCTCCCGGGCCCGAGCCGCGCGCGCCCCCGAGCCCCAACCCCTGCGCTCCTTTACCTTCGCTTGAAGATACTGGGGGTAGTAGTAGGTGGCGTATTGAGGGTACATCTGCTGTTTCCACACTTTGCCCATGAAGCTGGAAGGGAGCCTGCCGGGCAGGGTCGCGGGCACTTTCGGGTTTCCAAGTCTCGATCTCTCCTGCCTCTCCCTTTCCGGCGGCGGTGGCTGCCGCTGCTCCACCTCCCAGTCCGGTCAAGACGTCCTCCTCCTCCTCCTCCTCCTCCTCCTCCTCCCAGGTAGAGAAAAAGACACTGCAGAGCGCAGAGGGCACCCCGGACAGAGCGCTCCCGAGGAGTTGCCTCCTTGGAGCCCTTCTGCTCCCGGGCTGCCAAGGGCTGGCGCGCCAGCAGCTCCGCTCCGGCGAGCAGGCTGAGCGAGGCTGGGAGGTGATCAATACAAGTGGAAAGTGCGGCGGCGACAGCGGCGGTGGCTGCGATCGGTGCCAGTCGGCATCTGGGGTGGGTGCGCCCGACTGGGAGAGGGGAGAGGGGCTGGCGTGCGGAGGCCGTGGGGGGAAGGGCGGACGGAGGCGGGGCTTGGGCGCCGGGAAGCCGGGACCCGCTGGAGGTGAAGGCTGAGTTTTAAACCACTCCTCACCTCCCAGGCTCGCGGTTGGACGCACAGAAACCCGGGGTCTCGGATTGCTTTGTGTCGGGGTGGAGGTGGGTTTTTGGGACTCAGCTTAAGAATTGCAGAGTGGACACCTCGTCTGCTCTCCTGAGTTTTTATCTCCGTAAGGGGGAGAGGAGGTAAGGGGAAAGAGGAGGAAATCTGATTAATCTCTCAATTCCCCGGCCCAATGATTTTTTTCAACGAGAGAAGGAAAAATGACTTAGTGCCCATATCACAAGGCTGGAGTCCGGACACCTAGGTTCTGTTCACCCCCACTCAACCATCCCCACCCCCCAGGCCACAACACTGATTTTCTATGTGACCTTGGGAGCGTTAGTGTCCTTCGGGTTGGTTTTCCCACGTGTAAGAGGTGAAATTATGCTCTCTGCATAAGCGGAGGCAAAGCTGGGGCACACGCAGAGACACGTACACCCCTCACAACAAATAGATTCTTCTAAAGACGAAATGCTGCTAAAAGGCAGACTATCATTACTAGAGAACGCAATATAGACATCAGCTTTTCCCTGCCTCTTTCTAATGCTGTCAGACAGTCTGTCAACTCCCACTCAGGAGCAAGGAAACTCCCTGAGTTTGGAATATTTAAGGCCATTTTGAAAGTCACGCTGGCATATTGTTGCAGTGTGCTTCAGTGACATATAAAATCAATCTCTCTCTTTTCTGCCTCTTTCCATCTCCTAATTGTCACAGCTCTAGACAGCCCCAGACAGCAGTGGTTCAGTTCACTACATAACTGGATATAATTTAATGGAGTTAATTGGTCCCTGAAGCTGCCTGTAGAAGACTTTTTATATTCTAGTTCAAAAAGAGATAATACCAAAATTTACAAACAGGTGAGTAAGAAAGCACGTCCAAACTGGAGTTCTTGCACATCTAATAAAATGAAATGAAAAACGCATTTGTTATTAAATGGAACTCGATTACTTTATTTTGTTGTTTGGTCTTCCAGGAATCTGCTTTCTTAACAGCACAAAGGTAAATCAAACTGAAATGGAATGCATGAGATTGTGTTAAACAGTGACGTTTTTATATTATTACATTTCAAAATAGATTTAGTAAGATACTTTTAAACAATGAAATAGTGAACTGAAACATTTATATGATTTAGATAAATTCCTAGGTTATACATTTTGACAAAACTAAATATGAGTGCATATGAATACATTTTGGTTATGGAAGAAGGCAAATCATGTTCCCTTAAAAAATTAAGTTAACCTATGTGAAATCCTATAAGGACACTTGTATCTACTGAGCATTTGCTACATCATGGACACTCTTGATGTTAATGTTAATCTGAAGGTTGGAGCTGTTAACTGTGTAGCTTGGGGAACTTAAAATAGTTATTTATATTGTTTCTTTGTGATACCTTTTAGTATTTTTAAGCAGAGGGCTGACATAAACTAACTGTGTGCTCAGACTAGGAGTGATGGTTTGGAGGAGTGACTGATGGAAGGGAACAATTTAAGAGCAATCTCAGAAGTTCTAGGCTTGAGGTGATAAGGGAAATTACCAAACTTAGACTGTTCTCGTTGTTTTCTGGCTGATGAAAATTCAGCCTGTTTCAGAGAGCCCAGAAGCACACCCACAATTATGTAGACACTTGATTTATGACTGAGTTGGTATTGCAGAGCAGTGGAGAAAGAATGAGCTTTTCAATAAATGATTCTGGGTCAATTGGCTATTCATATGGAAAAAATGAAATTGGAGCCCTGCCTCACAAAAGGAGAAGAAAAAAGTTCAAGTGAATTAAAGACCTAGATGTAAAAACCAGAACTATAAAGCTGTTAGAAGACCATATAGGGAAATACCTTTATAGCCTTGAGGTAGGAAAAGATTTCTTTAATAAGGTGACCAAGGATGCAAGATTGATCTATTTGGCTATATTAAAATTCAGAACACTGATTCATCAAAGAATTCTATTAAAAAATGAATAGGCAGGCCACAAAAAAGTTATTTGTAATCTATATAACTACAAAAGGTTAACATACAGAATATATAAAGGACTCCTTGAAATCAATAAGAAAAGGAAAAACAACTTGTTAGAATATGAGCAAAAGAATGAACATGTGTATTTCACAGAGGAGGAAGCACAAGTATCCTTATAACATATGAAAAGATGTTCGCAGTGTTAAAGGAAATGCAAACTAAAATAATAAGATACCATTTCACACTCACCAAACTGGCGAAAGTTAAGCATTCTGAAAATAGTAGTAAGTAAAGGTGTAAAAGAGAAAAATCTTAAAAACATTGCTTGCTGGAGGAAGCATAAATTGGTACAATCATCAATTTAGAAAACAGTTTGGCATTACCCAATTTCATCTGCATTATATGCTATGACAGTAATTCTACTTGTAGGTGTATACCTCAAAGAATTTCTTCTATATGTGCACCATGAGAAACATACAAGTTTGTTTATAATATATTGAAAATAACTCAAATGTCTATCAACTGTAGAATGGGTAAAGTGTCTGTGGTATATGCATACAATAGAACACTTGCAGCAGTGAGAATGAATAAACTACAGCTAAAAGTGAAATGATCAACATGAATCATTTCAAAATTGACATTGAGGAAGCAAGTCAACTTAAAGCATGATTCCATTTGTGGAAAGTTCAAAAATAGAAAATAACAGTAAGTTGTATAAGAATAGGCACATTAGTAGCAAAAGAAATTATAAAGAAAAATAAGGGGGTTACAATACAAAATTCAGAATAGTGGTTATCTCTGAGGGAGAAGAAGGAGCAGGTAGATGTTCAGGAAGGGACGGAAGGGGAGTTGTAGAGATGATGATGCTTCATGTTTTGCACTGGGCTATGGATATGTAGGAATCTATTACAATATTTTTCTTTAAGTGGTTCATAGACTCTTGTATGTTTGTTGTATTTTATACTAACATGTTATTAAAACAAAACTCAGCTTTTAATCTTCATCATGATCATTTTCAAACATACAAAAGCAGGGAGAATAAAATAATGACCCCTTTGTTCTTAACTCCCAATTTCAACATTTATTAACATGTTGTCATTTATGTTTCTCACACACATTTTTATTTTTCTTCAATATTTTAAAGCTAATCCCAAACAGTATCATTTCACCTGCAACTGTTTTAATATCAACCTCCGACAAATGAGAACTTCTTAAAAACACAATATTATGATCATATCTAACACAATTGACAATAATTCATTAAGATCAGCTTATACCCAGTTCTTGTTTATTTTTCTTGGATTATCTAAAAATCACTTCTTGTAGTTCATTACTTTAAATCAGGATGAAAGTGTCCACATATTAAATTTGGTTGATATATCTCTTAAGTGTCTTTGAGAGTGTCACCCCACACATACACTCACTTTTTAAATTGCTATTTATTTGTTAAAGAAATGGAGTCACTTGTCCTACAGAATTTCCCACATGGCTGTTCACAACCTCGCGGTGTCACATACAGTGATGGTTAGTTCTAGAGGTTTAATTATTGGCAAAGAATACTTCATAGGTGGCATTAAACACACATAGGTGATGTGATATGCATCATATCACATCAGAAGACACATAATGTTTGGTTGTCTAACTCTCCTTTTGTCTTCGCCTGAGGACATTTTCTCATTGCTTTAGAGAGAGAGGAAGTGGGGTGGGGAGAGAGAGAAACATAGATTGGTTGCCTTCTTGTACGCACCTGAGGATCGAACCCACAACCTGGGTATGTGCCCTGTGCGCTGACCAGGAATCTAAATTGCTGCCTTTCAATCTACTGGACAGCATTCCAACCAACTATGCCACACCAGCCAGAGCTGGTTGTCTCACTTTTAATGATGATAAGAATGATAAAAAATTCAGATTTTATCACTCTGACTTGACCATTAAAAATGCCCATGGTTTTAATAGTTATTCATATTATCTCAATCCATTTTTATTAGAGATTATGAAATTATAGTTTTCATAATTTTGTTATTCCTTAGGCACTTATTAGTTGGATATTGTCTAGGGTGAAGAACTTTCCCCCTTCAACTCTTTGGTTAACTTGAAATATGATTAGTACAAAAAAGCAGATAAATTTTCCCCTCTTTACCCATTTCAGAACAATGAGTCATGCCATAGGAAATTCCAAAACTAACCAATTTTAGAAACATTCTGAACTTGTGAATTTTTATACATTTGATTTGTTTTAATCTATCACAATCATTATTCTTGTCGATCCTCAAACTGTTCCATCCTCAGCCAATGGGAAAGCCTTTGAATTGGCTCCTGTGTTGTGTCTTTTACCAGACCCCAATAGTCTTTGATAGATTTTTTTTTTTTTGCTTTCTAGCATGGTAAAATTGTGTAGTTCATGTTCAAGCCTGGATCAAATATTTCTCTAAGAAACCTTAACTTGCTCTTAAAACAATTAAAAACAGAAACAAATTCTTTACAATGTGTTTTCCATACTTATTATGTGTGAGAGAAGAAGCTGGTGAAAAATTCTTAATGAAACCTGTGCCAAGATGACCCCTAGAAGAGGATGAGCCACTGAGCAATCTTCTGCAAGAGAAGGTATACATTTACACCTCCAGCAGTGTTTAAGAAGCACCCTATATGTGCAGGACACTGTGGATCCAATTGACTTGCAGTTCACTTGGGCAGAGCTTATGATTAAGTGAGAGATAAAGGTAAAACAATGATAAATTGTGATGAAGTCTATGAAGAAAGCAACAGGATAGTGGGAGGAGAGAAACTGTGGGAGTTGGGTTAGACATTTTCAGTAGAGTAGTTAGGGAAAACCACAGGCAAGAGACACGATGAGTAAGAATGAGTCAGCCATAAGAACCTTGTGTGAGGTGAGAGGTGAAGCATTGTGTCCCTGCAGAAGGAGCAGCAAGTTAAAGACTGAGGCACAAAT